CTGGTGTTGAAGAGTGACTGAGATAGTGGCTGATGTGATTAATTAATTTAGCAGTAAAATATCCTCTTCAGAAAAGAAGCAAATGATTGCAGAGAGAAAGAATGCAAGGAATTGCACCAGCGAAACACTTCATAATGTCCTTAAGTCTATCACGGATATGTTATTGAAGAGTTGGAGCATAGAGAATGTGATGCGTTTGGCCAAGACCAACGATTGAATGGTGTGTGCCTCAAGGATAATAAATCACTGAACAAAGAGCGAGAATCAATAAAACGATCCCACAAACAACGACTAACCATCATAAAATCTCAGCATTGCTTTCTCGACACCGCAAGATTTTAACAGTGGTACATATCAAGATATTGCTTTGCTAGGCAGTTCATTTTATCCCATAACGACATCCTTCCGTCCGATTTACTATTGGTAAAAAGAAATCGCTTATACTTCTTTCCGAAAATTTTCAAAGCCTCCAAAAAACTTTTTGCAATTGTCATTGTAGTGTAATACACGCTTCAATGAGCGCCGAGATGGAACGAAGTAATCTTGAGTGCGCATTGTATTGAAATCGTTCTAGCCATTCTGGGATATGAACGAGATAATCTAGGTTTGAAAAAACTCAGACCATATATCCAATGTTTGGAAATTGGTGGGGCTACTGCAAAATTGGAGTGCTCTCTGCTTGNTGGGGCTCATTTTGATGCGTTTACGAAAAGATAAACAAAAAGCATGCATTATGCAAGTGGGAACGAAATTGTGCCTTAAAAAACGCAAATATGACTAAGTTTGTTTGTATTATGAGTAATATTCATTGTGCCCGAACGCAATGACTAATAATAATTATGACTAATATCCATCCATCCATTCGTTTGTATGATGATTTAAGGTTTTGTATTGTACGTATCCAATCACTATCTTCAACAATAATGTATGTGGCACTGTCGACGCTCTTTTTGGTGTCGTTTGCGGAATTCGCCTTGGCAGTCAACAAAGAAGCCACTATACGCGTTCGACTCACGAGCAATGGACTGCACTTCTTCAGCGATATCGCTCATCACATCGTTAGTTGTTAAGCATACACCGACCATCTTCTTTCGTAACATTCATTATCGCTGATGAAATCATACAAACAAATGAATGGATGCAACATGCCGTAGATACGTAAGCACTGTCTGGAGCCGACAATGATTTATGACAAAATAACGTAATGTGGTCAATTATTTTTATCTCCATAAGCCTATCGCCTGTGATGTTCACCGAAATTTGCCCCATGAGCAGATTTGGATTAAGTAAGCATGTTTTATGAAATCTGTGTTCGTTTCTACATAGTATAATGAGCTAGCAAAATAGGTATTTCTCCTTCTTACTGTGTCAACTCAGTCGAAATACTTTAATGAAGATAGCTGAATCGAAGTGTTATTTTCAGCTGGATTACGAAGTTCAAGGAATTCAATTTCCATCAATCTCAATTCCAATAAGTGGCGGTAGTTTGGGTAGTGGTACGGTGAATGTGAGCGATCTGAGAATACAGTCGTTCAAATCACCGAATATCAAATTCAAATTGATACCACGGAATGGGATTGGCTGGAAGAGTAACGGTGGTGCGGTTAAGGTGTACGGGAATTGGAAAGCTTCGTACACACTTGTCATACCGGTAAGTTCAACGTTTGCCGGTTCGCTGCCACACGACGGTTCGTTTATTTAGAGTAACTGCTTGAATGCTGACAAGGCTGTGGGCTGCTGCCGGATAAGTGGGACGAAAACAATGCAAATAGAGCCAAAACGATTGAACTAGCTCCAGCTACAAATCCTTCCAAATCATAAGGTTCAACTACGAGCCTGGTTTTCATTCAAACACGATATGATCATACCAAGTACAACTAATGTGCAACTTTATGAGGAAGATGGTTTTTGATGAATTCGTGCAAAGATATGAATGAAATCTGCGGATATAATGAAGCTGACATGAATCAAAGCTTTGCAGATTTACATGTCAGGTTATGTTCGAGCATCAGCCAATGATATTCGTACGCTTCTTCAAACTGAATTCGACGTTGCTAAGTTGAGACCACAGCTGAATATTGACGCGTGTTCGATGGATGTAGAAAATATTGATGTTTCGATCGGTGGTGGGATCATACCGTGGATTGTGAACTTGTTCCGACCAGAATTATCTGCTTTAATCAAAGAAGAGATACGCTCTCAGGTATCATTTTCTCAATTGAATGCATAATTTTTGATAAGCATTTATGTAACCATATTGATAAGATGCGACATTACGTCGTACTTCGTGTAATGTTACAGTCTCTTTAAGCTATCAGCGTTGTTTTGTTGACATATTAATTGTAAGATAAAGTGATTCTCAACCATGTTAAACTCAGATCGCCACCTTGTGCCGCAGCCTTAGTAGTCGTTTCCAAGACAAATGAATAACATTGTATTAGCATTCGAAAATTTTTTCTTCTTCGCCAAAATAATTCTCTCTTCGCACATTTTTCATGGTTTATGAAAGCATGAATGTGTATCAAAACTGAATTCGCCATATTGCATTCATTCATCTGCAATTCTTGCGACTAATTAAAGCACATGCTCTTCTTTGTGAACACCGAATATCGATTCCAGCATTATCCCATTTTTTCTTTCTTCGTGCACCATTAAAAATGCTTTCGAGTCTGGAAAACTGTTAGTCCTTTGAAATTTTCAATTCAACGATTTCTCGCCAACCTAAAAGATAATCGCGGTCTGTTGTTAAATTATCGTCCTTATTATTTCAGTTCTGTACCACTCTAGAAACGGTGTTATTGCAAGAAGCGAACGAGGCTCTTCTATCACTCCCCACGCATATTCAAGTGGCCAACAACCTTTATGTCAACTATAGATGCGAAGTATGTATGTACACATTTTTATCACGTAATAAGTGTGAAATCATTTCATTTATATTCATTGATTATATTCCACTGAGATTATATAATCATTGTTTTTGCAGTCAAATTATGTGATATTTTCAACAAAATCATTCAAGATTTCCTTCATTAACATCTGCGCTACTTTTAATTGTCTTCTTCCAAGAATCCTGAAAATTCATACGATCCGTGGCTCCTGTTCATAAAATTACAACACACACACAAATGTCTCTCTTTCAACGGAAACTCGCTGAGTTCACTTCAAATTCAGCTATTTGAATCGCTCTTTCTTAGCACTAAAGCAATGCAGCCATCGTTTAATGACTATTGAACAACCCAAAAAAATCTTTCATTCATTATTTG